GAGTATTTTGGTAAGGGTCGGCCTTTTCTTGATTGCTTGCAGTTGATATAATAAAAGAATTCTAGCCTTATTTCTTCGGATAACTTTGGCGTGATTTTGTAAAAAAAAATTATTCACTTGAAATCGAAATCAGATACAAATAGTTTTCAATAAACTTTTTCATTTTAGAAACTCTCGACCCGCCCTCGATACATTTTAAGTGCAGAGCAAAAATAAATATGCTAAAATTGAATGGTACGGCGGTACATTTATGACACATTTACTATTATTTTGAAATACCAGGAAAAAATTATCTGTTGAAAAAGAAAAAAAAATTCTCGTGAAAACGAAATATATCTCTTGAAAACGACATATATCTCGTAAAAAAGACACAATATATCAAGACATTGTGTTGGTGTAAGTAACATCAAAACGTACAACTTTTGTACACTTTAAACAAGCATTCCGCACGACAAATTCAAAACTATACATTTTTACATCATTGACATTTGCTTTCGCAATAAAAATGGAACTCGGAAATTTTCGTATCATGTGATTGGTTATCAACGAAAACCACAAGTTAAAAATCACCCTGATTCTACCTAAAAGTATCCTGAAATTGAAAGAAAGCTAGATTTCCTTATCGACACTGTTTTTGCAGTCTTAGGAGACCAATTCTTCCTTCAATTCTTGGAATTCCGATGGGCACTAATTGTACTCCTTTATTAACCGACCTGTTTTAATATTTCTATGAAACAGAATAAAAATATATTTTAAAAAACTTTACATGACAAGAACAAATCACTTGCCGTGGGGTTCAACTCAACATTTAGATACACCGACGACGTATGATCAAGTAGCAATAGTAACTTTAGTTCATATGTCGACTCGATATATCCAAATGAACTTTAAATTAAAGTCACCACTGAATGTGCCACAACTGTTCTTTGTTTGAAAGTTATACTGACTCGAAGATAAAGACCAACTGAAATTATGTTATACGGGAAAAAAAAAATGATTTCTTCTTCATCTTTTCCAAAGCTAACTTTATCTATTAAGGTTATGCTCCGAAAAGAATTAATTTTTAAGCCGAGGCAGGCTACTGACAGATAAGTTTGTTACTGGGATTTCACCAACCTTGTTTAAGGTCAGCATTACTTAAATGCTATGGTCGCTATATTGTGAGTTTATCATTTGTAGAGACGATTATAAAGGGTTTGAAGATCGATAAAATATACAGATTAGTTAAATAATGTGCCTAGAATTGGGGAGTGAAAGGTAGTTAATTGACCGATACTGGAAAGTGGAGAAATTCTCCCTGAAACATGTTAAAGTGCGCAAAAAATATTGCTCCGTAAATTGCACCTATTTTGCAATACGGGATAAGTAGCGTTATGGTCAAAGACAAATATTTAAAACCATAACTGCAGATAGGGACCAGAGAGAACACTCTCGGACAAAATTCGTCGCTTTTTGCAGGTTTCCATGGCAACGGTAGACATTTTGAAACTGAACGCCTTTACTGCAAAACTATAACCAGTGATTTTTTTTTTTGGAAAGTTTCAGGAAGATTGTCCCAGCCATCTCCGAGAAACAGTCCCTAGGGCAAAAACATGTGTACAATCGCAATTCGAAAATTAAATCTTGAATGAGCCATCTGGACTTTCGTACGATACTGATAAATTCCGTAAAACAAATTCCCAGTTCAAAAAATGTACAAACTCTGAGGAGGGGTCAATATTCAACAGGGTCAATTTTCAACTTGTAGAGGTTATCAGGGATAAGAAAAAAATATCAAGCTGTTGGAAAATGACCCCAGGTATAAATTCAACGACGTTTGGTTTCAATTTGCAACGGTAAAAACACACCTCGGTTCAATATTCAACGTTGAAAAAAAAACCCGGATCAATTTTCAACTCTGGTCAATATTCAACGTTACACCGCCTTTTTGGACGAAAGAACTTTTCATAATCAATTGTATTACACAGGAAATTCTATTTTAGACTAACGTAAAAAAAAAGTGTTTAATTTTTACATGTAAGGTCATGTGCAGTGAAATTTCTATTTTAGACAAATATAGAAATGTTTACCAATGCCACATGCAAAATATTTCAATTAAATTTTATTAGATTTTTCACAATATTTATTCAGTCAATATACTTGTATAAAATAATTGCAGTATGTATTTATTATTTGTTAATAGAGAAAGATACAGAAAGCATATGTGAGTGGGTAAACGTGATGTATGCTTTGATAGGATCTGTTACCACCATGAGCCTGATAGGACTGCTGTTTTACCTTAAATCTTGGTATGAATAGATTGATTTGCAAAAATATTTAGTAACTTTTTATCCTTATAGTCAAAAGGAGGTAGTAAATAACGTACTGCATACTAAAGGATACTGACTGTGATGTTTTGAGACAACTAAGTAAACAATCATCATATCAAGTATTCCTGTAGGTTCTCGAAAACAAAGTCACCTTCTACGAGTGCAGAATTACCATCTACAGCTACAGATCAGGTGTACACAGGTCAGACAGTTAAATTCATTATTTGAGTTAAAAAAACAACAGCAATAGTTTGAAAAAAAAAATAAAAAAATATGTTGAATAATAAATGTATTTGTTATTCAATATATATTACATAATTTTTAAAATCATTTTGTTGGTGAATAAAGTTTTTCATTTGTACATAATAAACAAATTAAAATTTAGAATAAAAATAAAAGATTATTGAAAAATAATAAGCGGAACAAATTATAAACTTTCTATTAAACAGTAAACCAGATAGAACACGAGTATGAACATCGTCGAAACCCATCATCCACTGAGACTGAAACTGTTGTGTAAAGAATACAAAATCAACCAGACCCGAACAGCTATAGAAACTTCAGATTTTCCTGAATACAGCCTCTGTATGACATCTCAAAAGACAGATAAAGTGCTTCGGAATCGGTAACCCAATGTATCGAGACCAATCCATCTCAAAGTTATACAAACAAAAAAGAATATGATGACACAGTTTTAAAGTTGACTGTCTAAAACACGATCGTTTGAGTAGTCATATTCCGAAGCCCCTTCACCAAAATGATTTTTTTAATTCTTGATTAGAGGCTAAATTATAGCTCATTCATAGTTTAAACTATGATTTTAATTTAAAAAACAAGAACATGTTTTTCTTCTATGTATTGTTCTGACAGCTTATTACTCACATTGTGAATTTATATATTTACATATAAGTGTTTTATGCTTATTTTGTCATGGCACCTTATCCCTCGTATGGTGCTTTAGGTCCATGTTTACTATGCTGTCGATTTTTAAAAATGGACTTTAATCTGTAAAACTGTTCGTTATCTTCATATTTAGAGGATTTAAAAGAACGTGTATGATGAAAAAGGAAATAATGAACAGTAATCAAACTCAAAAGTCAATTGAATCAATGCAAGATAAATTTTTTGACATATAAAATTGAAAGGATTTATTTTTGTATTGTCTCTCATCAAAGGAACTATGCCAGTACAGGTCATAGCCCTAGATTTTTAACGATATTTATATCCACAACTTTTCCACTAATAAAAGTAAATCTCTTAAAATGAAAAGCCTTTCCGTAGCTTGTTCTTGTTGCTTTAAACACTAGAGAAGACATGAGAACTTAAGTTGAGTGAAAATGTCATTTATTGACCAGATAAATGAAGAAAGTGAACAAAAGCACATAAATATACAATATTACCCACAATCATGTAAATTATAGCTGGGATAAGGCCAAATAATGAATAGTTTCAACTTAAATATGATATATTGCGACCTAATGCTTATCCCAGCTATTGTTATATAATGATTACCAAGGTTGTGAAACAAGAAGGTGGCGTGAACAAAGAGGCCACACAGCATGCTAAATCCTTGATCTGATACAATGAGGAAAAATCTATACAACAAAAAATCAACAATCAAAAATTTCCTTTTCAAATATTTATATTATATTGGAGGAGGATGAGAGGTGGCGGTAAATTGACTTCACCTCGTGTTTCTGCAAAACTGAATTAATTGAGCACTCGATCCCGATCAAGCCGAACCCGATCCAAACACGAGTTCCATCCCGATCCAGTCGACCCCAATACATAAAATTCATTAACTGCAATTTTAATTTAAATAAGTCAAAACACAACGTAAAAAAGATTGTATAAAAAACATTTTATGAAACATAAAATTTTATTTATATCCACAACTTTTCCACTAGTAAAGTAAATCTCATAATATGAAAAGCCTTTCCGTAGCTTGTTCTTGTTGCCTGAAACACTAGAGAAGACATGAGAACTTGAGTTGAGTGAAAATGTCATTTATTGACCAGATAAATGACGAAAGTGAACAAAAGCACATAAATATACAATATTACCCACAATCATGTAAATTATAGCTGGGATAAGGCCAAATAATGAATAGTTTCAACTTAGATATGATATATTGCGACCTAGTGCTTATCCCAGCTATTGTTATATAATGATTACCAAGGTTGTGTAACAAGAAGGTGGCGTGAACAAAGAGGCCACACAGCACGATAAATGCTTGCATGACGCAGGCAGCGCCACCCAAGGAAAGGCATTTCGTGAATTATATGCTGCTCAATTTTAAGTAATGGATATAAGCCGAAAACGGTTCATTATGAAAAATATTGGACTCGCTGAGGCGCGCAAGCGCCGAAGCAAGTCCAATATTTTTCATAATGATCCGTTTGAGGCTTTTATCTTACTTAAAACATTTTTTAAAGCTAACATTTTAAAGTATTGAGATAAATTTAAAAAAACACTTGTTATGTCTTTAAGAATGTCACTCTTTTATTGTTTTCCTTCACTCATTTACAATCACCTTCTGGGAGCCCCAGTTAAGTTTACAGTCTAATATTACAACAATAGATACGCAACGGTCAGCTCTGTCCAGTATTATAACAATAGACTTCACGTATGACACGTCCCTGAGTCTTCAATTTAAGTCATTGCTACCCTCAATTTCATTCGGTAAGCACGATGGAATCAGAGAGTGATGTCGAGATTTTTAAGACTCAGAGTTCTTTCAGAACCCCCAGCGATAAGTCCGATAATGACACTGATACTATTTTGAATGACATTCTTGATCTGGAGAACTCAAATGCAAATTTTGAATTACGCGCTACTCCTTTATTCGTAAAAAATCCTACGTTTTCTGACATATCGGACTTTGAAGGTGATGACTTGTCATTAATAAAGGCTTCCCAGGAGATTGAAAACAGGGCGTTGACAAAAGAATGTGTTTCAACTCGTTTTTCAAAACCCCTTCAAGAGGCGGATCTAAAGAGGTTAGTCCAGTCTACGAAATCCAAAAACACCGAAAATAAAGCTAAATGGGCTGTGAATTTATTTGATGATTGGAAAGAAAAACGAAACAAAAGTGTGCAGATTACGGAAGAACCGAATTCGACTTTTGTAGTGGGGGAACTTATGAAAATGGACAATATGTCGTTAGATAAAGCTATGCAGTTTTTCATCGCTGAAGTTCATAACAAATCCGGCGGAGAATACCACCCGAACACTCTCTATGAAATTGTCATTTCTATACAACATTTTCTGCGAGCTAGCGGGAGGTTTGTTAGCTTTCTTGATGATACCGACTTTGTTAATATGCGATCAGTATTAGATGCAAAAATGAAAGAATTATCAAGAAGGGGAATCGGGATCAATCGTAAGCAAGCAGATATTATTTCAGTGGAACAGGAAAACGAGATGTGGGAGCGTGGGATTCTCGGAACTGACACTGCCAAAAAGTTGGTCGATACTTTGCTATACAGTATCGGATTAAACTTTGCTCTCCGTGCCGGGCAAGAACATCGGAATCTTCGAATTGGTACCAATTCTCAATTATCACTACACATCTCCAAAGATGATGGGAGACGGTACCTCCAATACACTGAGGATGTATCGAAAAGCAACACTGGAGGATTAAATCATCGCAAAATTGCGCCAAAAGTCACGAGGGCATATGAAAATGTGGATGAGCCTGAACGTTGCCTTATTAAAATATTTGAGAAATATATCAGTTTAAGGTGAGAATTTAGCTATCTGGATATTAATTTGAACAAGACTTATGTTATTTAACAAATCATGTATATTATCTTGATGCATGCAGTGTTCTGAAAAAATAGTTTGTAAAGTTGCATATTCCTCTTTTTTGCGTACAATTTATATTATTTACATTTTTTTAGACCACCTAATGGAAAATCGACGGCGTTGTATCTACGACCCAAACAGAGGGCTACGGAAACAGTATGGTTCGACGACGTGCCGATAGGCGTTCATCAGCTTCAGCAAGTTGTTGGAAAATTGTGTAAAGCAGCTGGATTTCACGGGAATTTTACCAACCATTCTTTAAGGGCTACCGCCGCTACAAGACTGTATCAAGCCGGTGTTGATGAACAACTTATTGTAGAAAAGACGGGGCATCGCTCGAATGCGGTCAGGGCCTACAAACGTACATCAACGGAGCAGATGAAGGAAGTGAGTGATGTTGTGCAATCTAAACTGAAGAAGGTTTCCGCTGAAAACGACGGAGCTGCTGCTTGTGAAAAGAATAGTGCTTCCAGGGAAATAAATATCACTGCTGGCAATGTGTCTGTACATGTGCGTTTGTGATTTGTTGTGATTATTCCCGTTTCTGTATTTCTATTAAAATCATTTCAATGTTCATGTATTTGTTTTCGGTTTTCATTTCAGTTCAGTCCACTATTTTGCCAATCCAAAATTTTGTTAAATATTGGACTGATCGGACAAAGTATTGGATTGGTAGTATAAAATATTGGACTGGTAGGGTAAAATAATGGACTGACATACTTTTAAGGGGACATTCTTAAATTTACTGGATAGAAACAAACAAAAGGTTACGTCACAAAAATGTTTTAATTGTAGAAAAAATGTGTTTATAACAGATACTAACATTGTGTACTGAATAACATGTACCTGTACTGACTAAATAAGCATAAACATTAAAAGAAAAAACACGTAGACACAGAGTTATATCTGAATAAGTAACAAAATATAAAGGACAAAGGTTACTAAACCTGTGAGTAACTTACATTTAACGAGATTAAAGAAGGGGCCATATGCTGCCTCAGAAACAATATTTAGAAACAAACCTTAGTATCATGAGCTCATTTCTACAATTTATATTTTATGAATATCCATATGCTGGCCTTATGCACAATATCCTGCAGAGCTCCAACTAACATCCAGTTTTTATAAGCAGCTGTACGCTGATGTCATACACAAATTTTTGAACTTCTAAGCTCATGACAATGATACAATTTTGTAAACAGACATATGCTGACCTGATACACAATTCTCAAGATCAAACTCCAAGCTGAGTTTCAACTGTCTAATAATAGATTTTATGAACACCTGTATGCTGTCCTCAAGTATATTAGCTTGCAAATTTAAGGGCAATTTGAAGAGTAAAATGTTCATCTAATGAATGAGCTAGCAGTTAATTTTCATAGCAAACACTTTGCAAGATATCTGACCGAATTACTGTTTCATAAAATCAGCTATATAATGACCTCGGAAAATTCAAATTCTTTGTTTCATATTGATATAATGCTTTCAAAATTTTGTATCGGATCAACCATTTGCTGACCTCATAGATTTGATTTATACGTTTAATTACTGAAATGGATGTAAAAAGTTTATCAGACCCTTATTCAATTGTGGAGAGAAAAACAGCCATTTGCTGACTTCTGTCTTGCGATAATCGGTGGCTGTACATGTATAAGGGGAACATTTTGTTTGGAATTCTTAACAAGTGTTGAAATTAATTTCATTTGATGTGATGCTTTTAAAAATTCACAATTTATTGGAGCAACCATTTGCTGACCTCATAGACTTGATTTATGCGTTTAATTACTGAAATGGATGTAAAAATTTATTAGATCCTATTAAATTCTGTAGAGAAACAGCCATTTGCTGACTTCTCTCTTTCGATAGTCGGTGGCAGTATACATGTATAAGGGGAACATTTAGTTAGGAATTTTTAATAACAAGTGTGGAATTTAAAAACCTGAAGGCATTTATTTAAAGTAATGTTTACTAGTATTTGAGTGCCAACGACCGAGTTGTTGGATTTCATTTTCAGATAAACCATTGTTAGCTGCCACTAGCAATACAGACGCGAAAACTATCACCAAAGTAAAATAATCAGTCAAAACTTATTGCATGTTTCAATTAAGATGCCACAAAGCTGTGCGTAACTGGTTCATCAGATTTGAAGTTGAACTAGAGGTACTGTGAGCGATGAGCTCACTAAATGATACCCCCCGCCTCCCATATGGTTATAACTGGTGAAAAAGTCCATGTTTTCCTGTGGCCGGGAAACCCAAAATATGTGTCGAATCAAAAAGTAAAATAGGAGGTGCACAATGGCAATATGTAATAAAGATTCTGTGAAAGTTTCATCAAATTTCATTCAGTGGTATGAGAGGAGTTGCGGATAAGAGATGGGTACCCCAAAGCGTAACAGACGGACGGACGGACGGACAGACGGACGGACGGACGGAAGGACGGACGGACGGACGGAAGGACGTACAGACGGACGGACGGAATTAACGATTACTATATACCCTCCCGCTTTTCAAGCGAAGCGGGGGGTATAAATACCCTCCCGCTTTTCAAGCGGGGGGTATAATAAAGGATCAGATGTGTGTTTATGCTGAGTAATGTATTTTTTTAAGGCATGAACTGGACAAAATTGGCAATTTAAGTTGTTGACTGTTAGAGTAAGTATCACTGGATGCGTATCATTCATAGTTTGGAATACCTCAGTGTGATCTAAACTGAATTATCATCATAGAACATTATAACTTGTCTTTGAATGTTGAATGTGTTGTTTACATGAACGAGTTCTAAGCTCATAAAGCGTTCAAGGCAAGAAGGAAGACTGCTGATAGTATGGTTCTTGAAGGTGCACAATGGCAATATGTAATAAAGAATCTGTGCAAGTTTCATTAAATTTCATTCAGTGGTTTGAGAGGAGTTGCAGATAAGAAATGGGTACCCCAAAGCGTAACAGACGGACGGACGTACAGACGGACGGACGGAATTAACGATTACTATATACCCTCCCGCTTTTCAAGCGGGGGTATAAATAAAATTTTATGTTTCATAAAATGTTTTATATACAATCTTTTTTACGTTGTGTTTGATTTTGTAAATTTAAATTAAAATTGCATAATTAATTAAAGTAAATTAAAAATACATAAAATTCATTAACTGCAATTTTAATTTAAATAAGTTAAACACAACGTGAAAAAGATTGTATGTAAAACATTTTATGAAACATAAAATTTAATTTATACCCCCCGCTGGAAAAGCGGGAGGTTACATAGTAATCGATAATTCTGTCCGTCTGTCTTTACGTCCGTCCGTCCGTCTGTTACGCTTTGGGGTACCCATCTCTTATCCGCAACTCCTCTCATACCACTGAATGAAATTTGATGAAACTTGCACAGAATCTTTATTACATATTGCCATTGTGCACCTCCTATTTTACTTTTTGATCCCACACATATTTTGGGTTTCCCGGCCACAGGAAAACATGGACTTTTTCACCAGTTATAACCATATGGGAGGCGGGGGGTATCATTTCGTGAGCTCATCGCTCACAGTATCTCTAGTATGAATAAGAATGTTCACACTTTCTTGTCTTTGATATTGAATGCATTTGCTAGCTTTTCTGGTGAATTCCAATTTCATTTAAGGATAAACTAAAAATATGTTGATATCTCAAATCGTGTATTCTAATGCAGGGAATGCTCACTCCTCCATGGCACCTGATCCCACATCTCATGATTTGGAGGTCTGCGTTTGCTCTGCTCCTATTTTGTATTGATTTATAGACTTTTGATTTTTGAATACTTGTCGCTTGTTGTTAGAGAGTCTGCTCTTAGGAATTGTGAAGTAAACGGTTAATGCTTACGTCGCAAGATTGAATACCACTGTAGGACAAGGAGACTTGTCCTTCGGATGAGACTGTGTAAACAGATCCCTCCCTGCTCAATGGCCCTGGGTGCCGAGTAAAGAAAAAAATTTGCAGTTCTCCAACGGCACGCGGGGACGTCTCCATATGATTGAAAAATTCTCCAGAGGGACGTTAAACCACATGCAAACAATTATCAAATCAATCTTGAATATTATTCCCTATATCTATATTTTTCATTCTACAAAAGATTATATTTTGCCATTTACCATTAGAATATAGTTAACCCTTATACACACTGTCAGGGAGATGTTTTAAACATATATTTATACAGCGGACAATCATGATTTTACACAATGGCAGTGCTAAAAACTGGGAATGGTTTTTTATAACAGGGATATGAAAATTTGTATTGGAAGTTAATATAATTTAATTGTATTCCTAAATTGAAAAAATCCATTTAATTAAAATTATACTTGTATTTTCGCTCCTCTACTATAGGATTCAATACAAAACTGTAGTAGAGGAGCGAAAGTACAAGTCTAATTTTAATTAGATTGTGAAAAATGTATTTAAAATTGTCGTCTCTATTGAATTACAGTGGAGGACAGTTCCTTAACTTCACCTGTGCGGACACGACATACACTTAACTCGTTTTTGTGCTTTACTGTAAATAGGCGTCATGAAGGCACCGTAAGCGGAACTTATGTTTCACTGGCTATGAAATTGTTAAAATATTTGATGCTAGTTTATTATTTGTTTATAGTGATGAATTGAATTGATTTAATCATGTTCACCAAAACAGGGACCTCCATAAATAATGTAATAGTAATATAGGAAATAAATCTTATTGAAATGATTACGCCTTTGTGTACCCTATTGTAGTAGTTCCATGATGTAAATACATTTAAATTGTAAAACTTGTAAGTGTGTAAAATTCAGGAAAATAAACGCTTTCAACAATTTCCAAAATTGTAACAACTTTTTCCGACTCAAAAGACTGTAAAGGTAGATCGGGACTGGTAGATCCGTGTGTGGAAACAATTGGTAATAATTACAAAAGAAGTGAAAGAACAACGATGATGACATACATCGCAGTAGGGAATATTTACAATTTCAAAACAATATCAGAACAACTTTAGTCTCTAATTAAATAAACCTCCCATTAAAAGAACAATAATGTTGTGATATTTTCCATTTTTTCCTTTAAGCAAACTTGCTTTCGTATCATACTGAAAATATTTTTAAAATGCCTTAGGCTAGTGTCTGTTTTTCATCATACTAATTGTTATTTCATTATTTATACACTGGATTGACGACGTTAAAGATAAAAGATTATCCTAGTTATCCGAACATGAACTGCCTAGCTATAGTTTTTATAGCACAGAAAACAAAACACTTGTTCATACTTATCTATGTGACACCAAGCTAGCTCGGTGAAATGTTTTTGAAAGAAAAATGAGTTTTAAAACAGTTTTATAAAAGTCAGAACTTTACAAATGTATTAGAATTTATATTTGTTTGTAAGTCGGTATTCAAGCGCGCAAATGATTAAAAATGAGTGGAGTTAATATCTAACAAAAATATTTTAAAAAGATATATATTAGAGTTTATTATATACCTAATGTGTATCACCCAATTTTACTGCTGAATTTGCGCTATTACGTGA